TAAATAAATAAATAAATAAATAAATAAATAAATAAATAAATAAATAAATAAGTCATTGTTTTGTAGCGTGAATTCAGCTCCAGAAAAATAAACACAGATGGATGAGGCTTCATTTAACTTCTTTATAAACATAAGTAGATTTTACAAACCAGTTGTAGATTTCCCCAACATGGAGTAAACTCAGACAGAAACATGTTGCAGGTAACTTCAGTAGCACACAGAAACAGACATCAGTTTCACTTTAGTTCAGCAGGCAAGCATTATACATAGCAGAGGAGAGAAGCAGTTTCATTTTCAATCGACCGACTCTGAGCTCAACATAGCTTCAGAGCTGCAGAGCTTAACGAAGAGCCATGCCTAGGCTACTTCCAGTTTCAGTTTCCAAAACAGTCCTCATTAGCTGACTTAGTTGCTGTGCTATTCATTGGCTGACCTGAAGCTCTATTCCAGTTCATGAATACTTTCTTTCTTCCTTCCTTATTTTACGGCCACTTATAGCCATCATGAAAGCTGTGATTGCTCAGCAATTGTTCACTATGTGCCAAAATATCTTAAAATACCTTAAAATGACCATGGGAATGCTGCAAATGGTCATGCAGGCCAGTTGCCGAGCGCCCGAAATGTGGTCTCGAGACTGCAGGGAACTTCAAAACCAGGCCAGAAATCCCCCTTGGGGATATAGGTTCCACGTTTCCTCGAGAACACCTGAAGCTTCCCAAAGGGCATTTTGCCAACTTTTGTCTGAATTCTCGCCACCAAACGAAGCCATTTCCGGTGGAATTATACTTTTAGCGCCCTCGTTGAGCCGTTCCTACTTTGACTTTCCTTCGGTCTCCTCCACCTGGGCAGGTGTGAAGGATTACTTCGAGTTCATCAAGCGCGAGCGAGTCAGGGACATGGAGCACTTGGTCCGCAAGTACACCTCGGTGGGGCCGCTGCTGACCAAAATGGAAGGCCTGGTGGCCAACACCAACACAGGGAAAGCCTCGCGGCTCGCGGCGTATTACGCCTTCTGGGAGAAGAAAATCTATCAAAGCTTGACCAACTTGGTTCTGAAGTAAGTCCGCGGGATCCAATCCGGGTAGGTCACACCGGGACCAGAGGTTCAGCCTTCCGAGGTGGGGGCGCTTCAAAAATTTTAGCAAGGGGTTCTCGGCCCGGTGGCTGGGTGGGCGTGGCCTAGTCGGCCTCCTGCACCACGGTGGGGTGGTCGTGTCATTTTTGCACTTCCCCGGGCTCCGGAGGCTCTTTGGAACCCAGAAACAGGCCCATTTCCGGCCCTCCCGAACTTCTGGGAGGCCCGCTTTTTCGCCCTCCCGGGGCCTCTGCACCAGAGGTAGTATCTAGCAGGTTCTGACCAGTTCTGAAGAACCAGCAGTGGAAATTTTGAGTAGTTCGGAGAACCAGCAAATCCCACCTCTGTCCAGGGGATTTTACGGTATCCTTCCCCTGCCACGCCCACCGAGCCACGCCCACAGAACCGGTAGTAGAAAAAAAAAAACTTGAATCCCACCACTGCTCCGCACGCTCCCTGCACTTACCTGCATCCAAAATGGGCCGTGTGGGGACTTCTGGGAGGGGCGGGGCGGGGTGGGCGGAGCCAACCAGGAGTGGGATTTGGGGGGGGGTGTTCTCCAAACTGCACAGAATCTTAGTTGGGGCTCTCCTGAACCCCCAGTAGCTCACCCCTGCTTCCTTCTGCTTCCCAGCCTTTGCCTCCTAAGTACTTGATAGGCTGGGAGTAAAGTAAATCTGCCCCTCCCTCTCATTTCTCTCCGGTCTCTGGTGGTTTGTTCCCTCTGACTGTTTTCCTGTCTTGGAAGGAATTTGCAGTCCTTCAACGCCGCCGTGGTTGGGGACGTTCCGCTCTTCCAAGCTGAGACCATTTTGTCCGCCCCTGAGATCATCCTCCAGCCGAACATGGGAGAAATTGAGAAGATGAGCATCCATTGCATTCGAGACTGTGTGGAAACCACCAAGGTGAGACCCCTATTCTGCCTTTTGGTTCGCTTGCTGAATATAAAGACAGATAGACAACTCTACAGATTCTTCCATACAAAGTTTCTTTTATTGGGTTATATTAGGTATCCTCAAGGTAACTCACAGTCATGTCGAGACACATCTAATGTCCTATTCTTTGAAATCGTAGTGTAAAAGGGTAGTAATCTTTCACGCCTTTCATCCTATATCGAATGGGCAAGGTTTAGAGATGCCAGCGTGCTAGCTGAGGTCTAGGTGAGAGAGAGTGGACCTCCCACCATCCCAACAAAGGGTCAGTTCAGTGACCAATCAGGTTTACAGATTTGGGGGAAGTTCATGTGGGCATCAAACCCTCCCAGGGTAGAAGCTCATTCTGACATAGAGAGAAATCAAAGGATATTGAATGATTGCAAAACCAAGGAAGCCATGGGAACCGAGCCTCCTGCTGGGAAAGAGGGAGCTGAGCGTTATTAGAATTCATTCCTTATTTTTTTTCAGTTTCAAAGGTACAAACACTACATTTTTTCTCAAGCAGCGTGTCGTCTGGGCACCAACACCTCTGTGCCACATCCTTCACCATTTATAACGCCATTCACATTAAAATTATTTCTCTTAGAGTTAAGATACATCAAACAGCTAAATATTATACAGCTCTTCTGGTGATAATACCTTATTAGCATTATATCTCAATATTCTCATCATACATATATCGACATCATCTTATTTGTATCTCTATCTTACTTCGTTTTCTATTCTCTTTTATTCTTCCTCATTTCCAAATTCCTTTTTTATTCTCTAACCATTGATAAAATATTTTCCATATCATATAATATTCAAGTTTGCTCTTTCTCCTAGATTGCTAGTGTTAATCTGTTCATTTCTTGCACGTTCTAATATTTTCCTGATCACCTCCTCATCTAAAAACTTATTATTAAAAAAATAAAAATACAAATGAAAAAAAGAAAAAGAAACAATTCCTTATGGCTTTCTAACCTTTTCTTCAGTGAATACTTACACAGGGGTCTTGGATTCTTGTTGGCCTCCAGTCCTGTTTGCCAGTTGAAGCCTGAAATGGTGTTTCAAGACTAGGTCCAATTTATAGACCGACTTGGCCGCCTCTTTTCAGCTGGACTTTCAGTTTCCACCCATCCCTTGTTTTTTTCCAAACTGGCAGATTTGTTAACTATCGGTGACGTGAGCACTGTGCCTCTTCCCCTTCCTGCAAAGCTTAGCTCAAGAATCTTCCTTTCTCTCCGTGCAGCTTTTTATTCGCTGGTTGCACGGCAGTTGCATTGAGTGCCCACCTCAGCAAAAAGGGGACGATGAACCGGTCATCTTCAGCTTCTTCAGCGACATCTCCCAGAACCCAACAGTCATCGAACAGGCCATCCTGATCACGCAGAACATGCACAAGCTCCTGGCTTCTCTCACCAAATACCTCAACCGTTGGAAGCGGTATCGGCCCCTGTGGAAACTGGACAAGGCCATCGTCATGGAGAAGTTTGCAGCCAAGAAGCCGCCTTGCGTGGTTTTCGACGAGAAGCTGCAGTTCTACATGAAGGTGGCCCAGGAAGTCATGCAACAGCCCATGGTCAAAGATGAGCAATGCATCCGCCTGTTGCTGTCCCCGTTGGCCTTCACAGTCCAGGAGAATGCTAGAGGTTGGATCACTTCCCTTGGGAAGCTACTCAACGAGTCAGCCAAAGAGGTGCTGTATAGTCTCCAAGAAAACATTGAGGTAGGTTTTCTCCAGCTAGGGATGCTCACTTTGGTCCTACCATACTTGGGAGAGGACAGATGGAGAAAAGATCAAACGTATCTTATCTTTTGAGACCAAGATCTAGGCCAGGAGTGTCCAACCTTGGTGATTATAAGTTCTGTGGTCTTCAGTTGCCAGAATTCAATTCCTAGAACTCCCTGGAGAGGACAGAGGAATGGTTGGTGAAAAAGATCAAAGATATCTTTCTTTTGAGTCCAGGATCTAAGCCAGGGGTGTCCAACCTTGGTGAATTTGAGACCTGTGGACTTCAACTCCCAGAATGGTTAAGGAATTCTGGAATTTGAAGTCCAGAAGTTTTTAAATTGCTAATGTTGGACACCTCTGCTCTAGGCACAAATTAATGTTGACCCCCAACTAGTCCAAGGCAATTTTCAAGGCATGTAGGACATCATCCCATAAATAATGTCTTGCACTCCAAGTTCTTGAAGACCAACACTTTAATTCCTTGCTAACAGTCCTCTGAGTTAAAAACATGCTGATGGAGTCTGGACAGTAGTTTTAGCCAAATGGTCCTTTGCAATGTTTGAGTGAATTAATGAGTAAATGAATATGCTTTCCAGAGATTGTCGCACAATTTGAAAACGACCCCCAATACCTTGGAAGATCTCAAATTTGTCCTGGGCACAATAGCCGAGATCAAACAGATATCTCTAGAAGTGGAACTCAAGTATTTGGATATTCAAGAGAGATATCGGACCTTGGGCATGTACAACATTGCTGTAAGTTTCATTGTCAAAGATGCTGAGATACCTACCAGATTAAGGTCCAGCATGGATGAAGGGAAAAATTGGTGGGGTTGGGTGGCCTTTAGGACCTGGCTAGCTAATTTTAAAAGATGCTCTCGGGAGAATCCTCAGCATCCCAAATAATCCCACATGTTTTCCCTAAATAACTTAAATCTCTGAGCCTTCTAAAGAAACCTTCTCATTCCTCCTCTCCAGATAACAGAAGAAGAAAAGAACCTGGTGGATAAGATAAAGCTGATGTGGGAAACTCTTTATGTTGATGCGGCCGGAGTTGATCACAGCCTGGGCAGCATCAAGAAGACTTTTACGGAGGTATGGGGGTTGTCGCATTGTGACACGAAGGAGAAGAGTGTTCAGAAGCTGGATTGGCCTTCTAACTGGGAATTATGCCTCCTAGATCACAAGGGAGCAGATTGGAAATTACAGCAAGGAGATCGATGACTTCTACCAACGGTTTGTCACCGAGGGACCAGGTTCTGTCGGTGAAAATCTTGATAGAGGTAAGGGAGAACCTGCTGCTTCTGACCCCAGATAGCTGGAAAGCAGGGTAGAAACACAGGTAGATCAAAGGTCTTGGGTCTTAAGAGTCTTGTTTGGGAGAGAATGCAACCACCACCTCCATCCTTGACCAGATGCTCCTTCCTACCTCCGGTCTCGTTTGTCCAATTTTCCATCGTCCTGGTCATGTTTTCTTCAAGTCCTATGGAACCTGGTGGCATGGTAGCTGCAGAAGACGCTTTAGGAGATATGCTGAGAAGCAAGATTGTTAAAAACAGGGTCTCTTTTTACTTCTTGGACAGATCTTCCTTTTTATCCCCCAAAGAACATCGTAGAGACACTTCGTTGGGTCAGAAGCTTCTGCCAATTCCATTCTATTTATGTCCTCTATATTAATGACTTATAATTGCCTATCTTTATTTTCGGGTGTTTTTTCAAGGGGAGGTTTGGGGTAGAAAATTCTTGAACATGGCATGGAATTCAGACAAATGTTTAGATTCATTCCCTAAGACAAACATAGCTTGCTATGCTTTGGGTGATATTCTCGCCGAGATGTTGTGACTTCTTGGCTCCATTAAGGCTAGTTGTGGATCTTATAGACTTCTCTTGCCCCCTTTCAAATTCTTCTTGAGGTTTCCCACCCTTCTGGATTCGGTTCTGAATTTATTTGTCCCCTGCAGGGTTGGAGTTGATGGTGGTTTTTGAAAGAGAATTGGAGAAACACGAGAGGAATCGGCAAGAATTAGCCAACGCCGAAAAACTCTTTGACCTGCCCATCACAATGTATCCTGACATGATCAAAATCCAAAAAGAAATGAAAGGCCTCAGGCAGATCTACGAAATCTATAAGCTGCAGCAGGTAGAATGGTTTTCGAAAATCGGTCAATTTTTTATTCAGAGTTTTGGACCCCAGACCTCATGTCGTCAACCAAATTTTGAGTTTTGTGTGGTCTACATGGTGGTCTACTGTTTTGGATTATCCTTGTGCTATTCATTCAGATGAATGAGAAGATAGCCTGTGGCCTCCAAGAACCTTTATTTGGGAGGTCTGGTGTTCTTGAGCTGATGATCTTCTCTTTGATCTCTTTGCCAATTTGAAGATGTTCTTACAAGACTTTTCCGGGTTCCTAGGCTGCCAAAGAGGAATGGTCCCAGACCCTCTGGGTGAATCTTAATGTCCAGGTGTTACAGGAAGGAATTGAAGGGTATCTCAAAACCCTTCGCAAGTTGCCGAAACACGTGCGTAGCATGCCGGTGGCCTATCACCTGGAAATGAAGATGAAAGCTTTCAAGGAATCCATTCCTTTGCTGCTGGATTTGAAGAATGAAGCCTTACGAGAGAGGTTTGGCTTCTCCTCATCCATGGGGGGCTGTTCATAACAATGAAGGTTGTCATTAAACCCGGACATTTTAAGTCACGTACAGCTTGGGAAGCATGGCCTGGGTTAAATCCATAAAATCAGAGTGAATTTCTTCTCCCATCTTCTCTCTTTAAAAACCAAACAGAAGAACAGAGTTGGAAGGCACCTTGGAGGTCTTCTAGTCCAACCCCCTGAACACACAGGAGACCCTCTACCATTTTGGACAAATGGCTGTCCAGTCTTTTCTTTAAAATCTCCATTGATGGAGGACCCACAACTTCGTTCGACTGCTTGATTGTTCAGGAAGTTTCTCCTTAGTTCTAGGTTGCTTCTCTCCTTGGTTAGTCTCCATCCATTGCTTCTTGTCCTGCCCTCAGGTGCCTTTGAGAATAGATTGACCCTCTCTTCTTTGTGGAAGCCCCTCAAATATTAAAAGAATACCCCTGCAGCCGTTTTTCATATGTTTTAGCCCCCAGACCCCTAAAACACAAATCACTTTGGTTCACTTCAATCCACCCTTGGCCTGTGTTGACTTCTCCTCTTCTTTCAGACACTGGAAGGAGCTGATGAACAGGACAGGCACCAGTTTCGACATGGCCACCGAAACCTTCACCTTGGAGAACATGTTTGCCATGCAACTGCACAAATATTCCGACGTAATCAACGAGATTGTGGGGTCTGCCGTCAAAGAGCTGAGCATCGAGAAGGTCAGGTGTTCTTCTCCCGTGTTTCGGTCGTCTCTCGTAACGACCAGGGGCAAGTTCTTAGAACGTCCCTTGTTTCCTCTCCTAGGGAGTGAAGGAAATCATTGAAACTTGGGAGAACATGAAATTTACCGTCCAACGGTACTTCAAAGGGACTCAAGAACGGGGCTTCATTTTGGGATCCGTTGATGAGATCATTCAGATCCTGGACGACAATGCCGTCAACCTTCAAAGTATTTCCGGAAGCCGATTTGTGGCACCTTTTTTGGGCACCGTCCACAACTGGGAGAAAACCCTCTCTTTGATTGGTGAAGTGATTGAGGTAGGGAGGCTGGCGCTCCAAGTGGACAGGTGGAAAGGTGACTTACCTTTCGCTAGCCTCCCTTCCCTTGGTCAACGCTGCATTTCCTCTGTCTAGATCTGGATGGTCGTTCAGCGGAAATGGATGTATCTGGAAAGCATCTTCATTGGGGGAGACATCAGATCCCAGCTGCCTGAGGAAGCCAAAAAATTTGACAACATAGATAGGGTCTTCAAAAGGGCAAGTAACTAAATTGTGTATTGATGGGGAGACCCAGTAAGAGGGAATGGTGTGCGCTGGCTCTCGAAGTGAGAAAGTCCTTCTGGATGACTATTTAAGCATTGAGCAGGCTTCCTCAAGAATGTAGGGCCCAAGTCAAGATATTGATTGAAGTCTAGAAAAATCTAAATGTCTCCAGGCAGAACCTTCTGAGTAGACTAACAAGATTGAGATGGTCACCAAAAAGGCCGCCAGGAAATATCATGTAGTTCCAAGAGTGGGCTAGCACACCATTGCTCCAGAACCCAAAGGAAACCATCAAACAGACGTATGAAACTCAAATGGTCCCAAATATGTGAGCCTTTCACATGAAAATCAATCTCTCTCTCTCTCTCTCTCTCTCCCTCCCCGCCTCCGCCCTCCCCCCCTCCCCCCCCCCCCCCTCTCTCCCTCCCTTCTCTCTCTTTCTCTCTCTCTCCTTAATACCTTATCCTTGGGCTCCGTGTGTGTGTGTTATGTTTGGGTTTTTTAAAATTTAATTTAAATATAGTCTTTTGGCTTGTGTTTCATGAACAGTTTCTGTAAACTTTCGTGTTCCTTTTTTATAGTATAACGTTGATCTGTTTTTTTGTTCTGCTTTGGGAGACCTTAAGGGAAGAGGCGTATATTATTATCATTCACGGGATTACTCCTTGGTGGCTTTTCAGCCTCTTCCTCCCCCTCCTCCCGATCTCTGCAGATCATGGGAGAAACGGTCAAAGATCCGGTGATCAAGAGGTGCTGCGAAGCTCACAACCGTCTTAGCGAACTTCAGAACATAAGCGATGGGCTGGAAAAGTGCCAGAAGAGTTTGAACGATTACCTGGATTCCAAGAGGAACGCTTTCCCGCGTTTCTTCTTCATCTCGGACGACGAGCTGCTCAGCATCCTCGGAAGCAGTGACCCCTTGTGCGTTCAAGAGCACATGATCAAGGTAGGGGGTGATGGGGAAATCCCCAGAAGAATTAAATTCATCTTCTCCCTTTGGGCCACTGCTGGTAGCTTCCTTCGCCCGGTTCGATCGCCTTTCCTCCTGGTCTTGTTTCAGATGTACGACAACATAGCTGCCCTGAAGTTTCACGAGGACGACAGTGGGATGAAGATCGCCACTGCCATGATTTCCGCAGAAAATGAAGTGATGGAGTTCCGGAAAGCCATCCCGGCGGAAGGCAGAGTTGAAAACTGGATGACGGCTGTGCTGATCGAAATGCGGAGGACCAACAGGCTGATCACCAAGGAAGCCATCTTTCGGTATTGCGAAGACCGAAGCAGGTGAGGGAGAGGGTGGTTCTCCAGGACCACCAGTATTGTTGGTGCTCCAAGAACTTTATAAAACTGCAGCAATCCAAAGGTGGGGTTTTTAGTCTGCTCTCTAAACTTCAGTCTATATTATCTATTATCAGATATTTAGATCAGGAGTCTCCAAACTTAGCTGCTTTGAGACTTCAGTTCATACTTTTTAGTCTAAATTGTGGACTTCAATTCCCATAATTCCTCAGTTGGCCAAGTTTGGAGACCTCTGAACTAAGAGAGAACACTTGGCTCAATCCGTTGTTCCAGAAGCAAACAAGTTCTTCTTCTTATTCATTCTCTTATTATTATTTTACACTACCTCTTAATGCTTGCATGTCTACAGCTCCAAACATTGAGACAAAGCAAAATATCTTTATCTCTGCCACCCTTGCAAATCCGCCTTTTTCCGCAGAGTTGATTGGATGCTGATGTATCAGGGGATGATGGTGCTGGCAGCCAACCAGGTGTGGTGGACCTGGGAGGTCGAAGACATCTTCCGGAAGGTCAAGAAAGGAGAGAAACAAGCCATGAAGATCTACGCCAAGAAAATGCACCAGCAGATCGACTCGCTGGTGACCCGGATCACCAAGCCGCTAAGCAAGAACGACAGGAAGAAATACAACACTGTTCTCATCATTGACGTCCACGCGAGGGATATTGTTGATACCTTTGTACGAGACAGGTAAATCGTCCCCCCCTGGAGGTGAAGGAACAGTCCAGTGAAGTTCAGAATCAACTGGGCACAAATGGCATGGTCACATACGTAGCCCTCAATGGTTCCAAGTTATGATGGTGCTGAAAAAAATGATGGTTGCAATCGGTCCTTGGACTTCAGTCATCCCAGAACCTTTGCGGCCACGTGGTTGTGATCTGGGTGCTTGGTAACCTGTTTGCGTTTACGACTGGCGGCCAAGCGATCATGTGATTGCCATTTACAGTGTTTCCTGGCTGCTTCTCCAGAAGGTCAGTGGGGAAGACGGTAGGACATGTTGCAAATTGCTGGAGTAAGTCTCACTCACCCATGTAGCCTCCTGCAGTTTCGCTGTTCTTGCTCTGTGCCATGCCCTGCACCCCCTCAACGAACCTCCCCCACAGCCCCTTGTACCCCCTCCCCCCTTCCACAAGAGCATCCACTTACTTGCGGCGGGCTTGGGATTTGGAGCTTCCTGCTGGTTTCCCCACTGACTTTGTGGGAAGCCAGCAGGAATTTGCCTCACCTAATGCAACAGTAACTGGGACCGCAGGGACAGCCGTCCCAAAGCAATGCGGTCATGCTTAGTAACCAAGAGTCCGTTTCCAATTGTTGTCGCACGTCAAGGACTGTCTGTAAACAGTGTTAAAAATAATGAATTTGGAGCACCTCTGACCTCTGTTCTTCTTCTCAACATTTGCTTGGTTAGTTTTCTTCACCTCAATCTTGAAAGGGCTCTCTGACCGTGTTCCAATCCTTTCTCGTCAGCATTATGGAAGCCCGAGAATTTGAGTGGGAGAGCCAGTTGCGATTTTACTGGGACCGCGAGCCTGACGAACTCAACGTACGGCAATGCACCGGGACCTTTTCTTACGGCTATGAATACATGGGCTTAAACGGGCGCCTGGTCATCACTCCCCTCACAGACCGGATATACCTGACGCTCACACAGGTGAACCAACAAGGAGACCTTCCATTGGCTTCTGACTCTGGAATGCCCTTTATTTTTTTTAAAAAAAAGCAGATCTTGAATTCAGAGGCTCTAAACGCACCAGAATACGTCTTCCTTCAGTATCCCACTTTTAATTCTTCTTCTCATCCTTATTTACAATTCTGATATGCAAGCCATCTCATAACTTGAGTTTGGTTAAAATAAAAACCAGCTCTCTACCCCAAACAATAAGAAACCATAAAGTTGCTTAACGGGAGGAATAACCCATTGCAGTTAATAAACGATAATGCAGTCTTGTAGACAGACCACCATCCCAGAAGTTGGGAGAAAAGCCAGATTTTAAGGCTGCAAAGTTGGGGTGATCGGATCCTTTGAGGGCAGGAGCCACAACTCAACAAGGAACTTGCTTTCGAGATGAACCAGTGATTGCTTCCTGGGTCAGGATCAAAGTCCTGTTGAGGCAGAATCAACAGCCACTGTCCTAGTCATGTTTTTCAACTTCTTTCCCCCTTCAAAGGCCTTGTCTATGTACTTGGGTGGAGCTCCTGCGGGTCCAGCAGGAACTGGAAAGACCGAGACAACGAAGGATCTCGCCAAAGCTTTGGGCTTGCTTTGTGTGGTCACCAACTGCGGAGAAGGCATGGACTTCAAGGTCAGGAATCTCCCCTTCTCCCCTTCTCCATTTTCTACGCTGTGGCCGTAAGATTTCAGTCTGCTGGCCAACCAAAAACCAATGTGCAACCATCTCTGCTTAACCTAAAGGTGCTTTCTTCAAAAGGCAACTGGACTTTCTTGGTTTTTCCTTGAAGAGGTTTCACTTCTCATCCCAAGAAGCTTCTTTAGTTCTGAGTGAAGAATTCTGAATTCCCCACTGTTCTGTAGAACTGCAGAAGCTTCTTGGGATGAGAAGCGAAACCTCTTCAAGGAGAAACCAAGAAAGTCCAGTTGCCTTTTGAAGAAAACACCTTTGGGGCAAACCGTGACTCGGATGACTGACAATCTCCTTAGACACCTCATCTTCAGTCCTCGTCTTCTTTCTGTAGGCTGTGGGTAAAATCTTCTCGGGCCTCGCCCAGTGTGGAGCGTGGGGCTGCTTTGATGAATTCAACCGGATCGACGCTTCCGTCCTCTCGGTCATCTCTTCCCAGATTCAGACGATCCGAAACGCCCTCATGAACCAGCTGAAAACATTTCAGGTAAAGAGGTAAAAAATAAAAAAAATCCCCTGCTTGAAATTCTGGCTCCTAATCCACCCCCCCCCCCCAGATCCGGGGTTCTTTGGGACCCTCGGCCAAAGTACCGCATTTCAGTTTGAAGGGCAAGAAATCGCACTGGACCCTCGGATGGGCATTTTCATCACCATGAATCCTGGCTACGCGGGACGAACGGAGCTCCCTGAATCCGTAAAGGCCCTTTTCAGGCCAGTGGTGGTCATCGTCCCTGACCTGCAGCAGATTTGCGAAATTATGCTGTTCTCCGAGGGATTTCTCCTGGCGAAGGTGCGTCGCAGGGTCATCGCAAATGGATGGGTGTTGTTCTGACCCGGGCTTCGTAAACCGTAATTATTCACAAACTTGTTTTAAAAACAAAACATATTTTATTGCAACGCTGGGAATTGTTTTCATTCCCAGCTAGAATTAATCTCAAACAATTCCCCGAGATAAGCACCCACGTTTCAGTTCTCTGAGGTGCTGCCAAAAACAGAAGTATCCAGTTAACTAGGAAAGAAACCAACTGAAGTACAAGAACAACCAACCGAAGTACAAAGAGCTTCAAGAATGAATCTTGAACCGAACAAACGACTTTGCTTCCTGCAAAGGTTTCTTCACCTTTGCCTGTTCTTTATCCCTTATGGGAGGGGCAATCACCTCCCAGCCTTATCCCCGAGTTGCCCCTTTTGTCTCAGCTGCTCTTGCCTTCTGGCAATTCTGTGCATACGCACACTGGGAACAGGCTCCCTTCGTTCCTCTGCCTTGCTGCTGCCAGACTCCGGAGGCTCCAGAGTCAGCACCCCACTCCCAGATGGCCCTGGTCCCATCTCTGCATCAGATGCAGGACCCTCATCCAAGTCCTCCCCAGACTCCCGGACTGGTCCCCATTCTTCCTCACTGTCCGATTCCGTTGCCGTCTGCACAGGGTGCCGGCGAACCAAAACAGTAAGTGGACTGTTGTACATCGAGAGCTTTCTGTTCAAGGGCATTTCCTGTTGATTTTGTCCAATGGATTTGTTTATTTATGTAGTGTATAGCATGAGGTCATGCAACAACTGATATACAAATTTAGTTTAAATAAAGTGTCAGCAAGTGTGTTTGTGTGTGTGTGTGTGTGTGAGAGAGAGAGAGAGAGAGAAATGTGGACAATACAATATAGGAGATAAAATATTAAATTAGGATAAATGTCCAATAGGTGCTAGCCAAGAAGATGACTGTGCTGTACAAGTTGGCAAGAGAACAGCTTTCTAAACAGCATCACTACGATTTTGGGCTTCGGGCTCTGAAGTCTGTCCTGGTCATGGCCGGAGAGCTGAAAAGAGGGTCTTCAGATCTCCCCGAGGTAAACTTACTTCCACAGGTAGATCAACCAAGGGATTTGTGATACCTTGAAAAATCAACGGTGAGAGCTTTGGATTCAAGGAGCAAAACAGCTACCCCAGACCAGCATTTCTTCCCTGTCTGAACTTATCGAAAGACTTACCATAAAAATCACCCAGAAATGAGATCCCCAACCGCCGTGGCCAATGGCTTTTAAACAGGACCAGAAAACGACGTTAACCTAACCTTCTTGATATGTCAGGTGCTTTCTTTATTCCAACAAAGTGGATCTCCAACTACCCTCACCCTCTTTATTCACCAAAAGCGTGTAAATAAAAGTAGAACAACGATCCGGATTTTAAGTACACCAGGATTTATAACACCATCCTCAATTAATATTGTAGCTATGTATTGATGTGTCCTTCTAAATCCCTAAATTTTAACACTGATTTAAGAGGAGTCCATGGCTAGAATTCCTTAATCTACAAATTCATTGGTATAATTAAATGGCCTTTCAGGAGCGTGGTAATTTCATTAAGTTTTAACCCCTTTGGTCATCTTGAGATGAATTTTAAATGGCGAGAGGCCTTATCTTTTTTGGAGGGTTCCTTTTTAACGGGAAGTCTATTCAAGGAAGTCAACTCCGCTCACCAACGTTTTTAATGTTTCCTTGGGGTTCAAACCCACTCTAGGATGTGGTCCTCATGAGAGCCCTGCGAGATATGAACCTCCCCAAGTTTGTCTTTGAAGATGTTCCTCTTTTCCTTGGCTTGATCTCCGATCTCTTCCCTGGACTGGATTGCCCCCGTGTCCGCTATCCCAAATTCAACGATGCAGTGGAACAAGTACTGGCTGAAGAAGGTTACATGGTTCTACCTGTTCAGGTATTAAATGAAAGTCACTAAGATCAAAGAGATGGCCAAGATACAGTCAGATCATTTGGCCTTCATGAAGCTTGTCTGAAAAGCTTCATCAAGCCATAATGCAGTTGTCTGAAATTGGGAAGATGATCATTTTAGATTAGGGTTTTCCAACCTTGGCGACTGTAAGACTTGTGGACTTCAACTCCCAGAATGCCTCAGGCTGAGGCATTCTGGGAGTTGAAGTCCACATGTCTTACAGTGGCCAAGATTGGAGACTCCTGATTTAAACGATCAATGAATGTCAGTTCCATGAAGGGGTTTATAATTCCAGTCAAGATGGCTGCCATTGGGGTATTTTTTTTCCCTCCCCGCAGGTGGATAAAGTGGTCCAAATGTATGAAACAATGCTAACACGACACACCACAATGGTGGTAGGGCCAACCGGAGGTGGCAAGTCAGTGGTCATCAACGCCTTGTGTCACGCTCAGACAAAGTAAGCACAAATCAATCAGTGTGGTGGAACGTGGCCTGGATTCCTGGGGGGAGGGGCTGAAGTAAGAGGCGACTCAGTATAGCTTGTGGAAGAGGGAGCAGGTGAAGACAGCTCCTTCCTGATAGTTCCCAGAGTATATGTTTTACAGTGCCAGTAGCCCAATTGAGTTGGGCAAGATTTCTGCCGGGTTGTGAGGAACCATAAAGGAAGCCGCTTGGAAGGGTCTCACTGTGTCTTTTTTGGTTTTCGGAGCCTGGAAATCGGGGATGTGATTACTTTTTTTTTTTTTTCCAAGCCACCACTCCGTAGTTTAACGAAGCGGATGTGAGCAGGAGTCAAAAGTGAATTGGGCTGTACCTACAAATTCATGGAAAATCTGTTTCTGAATTAACGATAATCCAGACACATCAGAAATATCACATCCCTGAATATCAGCCGCCTTATCACGGGCAGGGTGATTTCTCCCTTTTCACGCCTGTGGATTTTGTGGTGGTCTTTGTTAGCCAGTGTGGGAAATGGGGCACCCTTTTTAGCAATGAGCTTCATTCTGAGTTGGCACATCCGAGACAGGACAGGATTTCATATCCGAGCCTTTTTGGGCCGGTCCCCACGGGAATGTCATTGACCCAATTCTTCTTCTCGTAATCGATAACCTCATTAGATTAGGCCTGCTGACCAAGCTGCACATCCTGAACCCCAAAGCCATGAGTGTGATCGAATTGTACGGCATCCTCGATCCCGCCACACGAGACTGGACCGATGGCGTTTTGTCCAACATCTTCCGGGAAATCAACAAACCCACCGACAAAAAAGAGAGACGGTAAATGGATCCTGCATCCATGTTTTTGCAACTGGGAAAATCTTTGGATTCCTTGACCACCCACTCCGTTTCATGATTGTTAAAAAAATTCGTTATGCTCCGTTTTATTTTACTTTTTCATTTTGGGGTGAGGGGAGAATAGAAGGGGAGATATGGGCCTGTGGGTCAAACATTTAGCCGTTTGAGACAGGCAGGTTAAGAAGCAAGCTCACTTATGCAATGGAATAAGAGTTGTTGGTCTTCGGTGCATTTTTTTTTTCTCAATCTGTATACACAGGTACATATTATTTGATGGCGACGTCGATGCTCTCTGGGTAGAAAACATGAATTCTGTGATGGATGATAACAAGCTGTTGACTCTGGCCAACGGGGAGCGTATCCGGCTTCAAGCCCATTGTGCTCTTCTGTTTGAGGTCAGGCTGGTCTCACGATGCCAATGACTTTGAGCTTCCTCCTTCCTTTGGAAGGAGCCTCACCCATTTCCAACCCAACAGGACATCCCTCTAGCCACTATCCGGTCTTGGAGCTTCTTTTAACCTTCCTTACAGGTTGGCGACCTACAATACGCCTCCCCAGCCACTGTATCACGTTGTGGGATGGTCTTTGTAGACCCGAAGAATTTGAGATACAGACCTTATTGGGATAAATGGACAAAAGAAAGGAGCAAGGTAAAGAACAACGAACGATGACCTTGGAACAACTTCTGAAGACCACGACTGATAATGGATTCTTCCATGTGTCTGGACAAGCATAAGTGAAGACACTTTAAAAAAAACCGAACATTTGTATGAGTCATACTGTATGATAGTTCTTGTTTCTCATAAGATTCCAGCTCGAGCTTCGTTTGTTTGTTCAAGAGTTGTGGTCTTTTGTGACGTTCTCCCAAATCGGTGCCTTGAGGTGATGCTCCCAAGAGGAGGAGGAAGAAGAACGGGGAGGACTTGTTCTTCTAACTTGGAATAACTTTTATTTTTCCAGCAAGAGAAACAACTGTTGGACAGACTCTTTGACAAATACGTGCCTTTTTTGATCGAAATGATCGTCGAAGGGATTGTGGATGGACGGCAAGGAGAAAAAATGAAGATGATTGTCCCGCAGACGGATCTGAACATGGTAAATAATCGGATTTTTGTTTTCATGAAAGGAGAAAACAAAAAAAAAAGAACCGGGCCTGCTTTTCATGGCCAGCCCGATGATGTGGTTTTTTTTTTCAGCTCTGGGGTTTCCTCCCACAGGTGACTCAGCTGAGCATGATGCTCGATGCTCTGATCGAGGCTGAAGTGGAGGACCCCGATGTGCTTGAATGCTACTTCCTAGAAGCCCTTTACTGCTCCTTAGGAGCCAGTCTCCTTGAAGCGGGAAGGGGCAAATTTGATGACTTTATTAAACGCATCTCTTCCATGTCAACAGTCAACGACGAGACGATTTTAGCAAAGCCAGGAGAATTGCCAGGTTGGTTTTCGAGGTCAGAAGAAGAC